AAATAAACACCCACTAGTAAGGCTTTTCAGCTTGTGACTGGCCAATGGACAAAGACCAGAAAAGGACATTATAGAATTTGACAAATTACTTTAAAGCAGTGGTCCCCATTTGCTTCCCTTTAACCTGCCCTTGAGGCACCATTCCTCCCATCAGCACCAACAATGGGGTACTAGGCTTCCCACTGAAACACTATTCCTCCCACTAGCACTGCAAGATCCCTCCTGCCACCAACCAGTAGGTCATTTTCACTACCACTGGCTTCTGATGCCAGGACATTTTCTTCTGCTACTAGTCAGTTTTAGGCTAATGCATTTCATATAAGGGACATAGCCTCCAATATCCTGAGGCCTATGCGAGACCCAAGTCAGTAGCAAAGCATGTAATCTGATTCTTTGAGGCATGAAAGACGCAGATACAATGTGCCCAAAATCAGACATGAACCCCTATCCCACATTAGGCATTTTATTTGAATCCTAGAGGCTAAACAGCAGGGGGAGGAGCATGTGTGGAGCAGGAGGGGTTGCCAGTATTAAGTGTGAACCAGTTTGTTTGAATGGGCAGAGCATGGGTTTGCCTTAATGTAAAAATACAAGAGCAGAAGTACCCAAAGAATGAATTACCACCTGTCCCCAGCTAGATAGCGCCATATTTATTTTTTTGCTGTGGCTGGTACACAAGAGGTCCTCCACTATCTTGCATTAATCCGCCCCCTTCTTTGCAAGTTCCAACCTCCTGAATCACCAACCAAGAAGCCTATAGATTAGATAAGGCGAAGTAGAGGTCCACCTTACGTGAAAACTTTATTCTGAGTCACTCAAAGTATCCAAACCAGAGGGACAGAGCAACAGCAAGGCTACACCAGCCTCCATAGGTCTTCAGTTTCAACCTTAACCCCTCTTGACTCCCCACCATTTTGGAAGCTACTGAAGGGGGATGCAAGTAAAAAAAGTTGATGAACAGTGGATTGGTTTGACTAAAAATCTGATCGGCAGGCCACAGCTCAGATTGAATGTCTAATCCAGGTCAGATTCTGGTTTGTTCCTTCCCAACACTGAAAAGTCTAGTTTCCAACAAAGAACCTACGCGGGAAGTTTGAAGGGTCTCCAGTGTTCAGGAAAAATGTCTGGCTGATTGTAGAGTCGTCACCATGATCATATTCATCCGCCTTGTACCCCATGCAGGCGCAACTTGCATTGGTGCATGGGAACCCAGATCCCTGTTGGGAAAAGCAAGTTTGGCATCTTAAAATATATTAGATTGAATTTATTAAACATGATATTTCTAGAGTCCCTACTATGGTCCCCAGGGGGGAAAGCCCTTTAGACAGTTCACAAGAACAGTAGTCCCCGTTGAAAGATTTGCATCCCCCGCTCCCCCATTTAGGCTTCCCCTCCTACCCACTTTATTTTTACCTGGAGATCCTAACGTTTCACCATCAGACTAAGCTGTCCAGCAAAAGTGGACGATAAGAGTGTTGAGAAACCATTTAAAACAGACACCGGTTCTTCCATAGGGTCAGTTTTTTTATGCAAATCCTTTATTCCCCCCCCCCACCCCCAATAGTAAATTTGTTGCTGGAATGGCTCGGGAAGACTGACCTCTTTAAAAGCACTGTATGATGAAGCAGGGTAACCAATGAAGCCATCAGGTCTCAAAATGCTCGCTGTAAAGAACTTGACACTCATTTGGTGGCTACACAAGAGCTTCTCCTGTAGTCCTGAAAAGCAAGTTGAGTCGTTGTAATCATGGTTACCCACAACAGTGCACACAGCCAGATAGGAGCTTCAGTGTTACCTGCAATGATATCATCAAGAATGCCATCTATGGGAAATATTTGGTCACAGCCGGGCATCCGTTTACCACCATTGGGGAAGAAGTCAACATTACCAACCATCTGCTTCATGCCAAAACCAACAAAACCTGAAAACACAAATACAAAGTTAGAGATGCTGCCAGACAAACTGCAATCACGTTGCACATAGTGCATTCAAACTAGTGAAGTGTAGGAAAGCCAGGCGGGTGTTTTGCCTTGTTGAACATCTGTGGCTCTCATTAGGGCAAACCGCCATTGCAGCTAAATTCACCACCAACCCCCACCCCCCCATTTCCATTTTTTTTTTTAGGTGACAACCCCCTCCCCAAAGCATGGGACATTGGTGGCAAACCGTTTTAAAGCAATTTGATCCTCCAAAATTCCAGACTAGGCAGTGTGCAGGCAAATGAGGGGCGATTTTCTGCACAAGGCGGCCAAGTCGCTTTCCCAACAGCCTGGAGACTTTAAAAGCCTTCAATAAATTTTACTTTCCCAATGTATTCCAATGCAAAGACATAGCTACATATAGAAATCTAATTCCTGAAGTTTTAGCTATAGTCCATGAAGGACTGGTTTGCAACATTTGACCACCATTCTCCAGAAAAGTGAGAGATCACATGCAATTAGCTGACAGTTTTACATGCTGCACAAAAGGTGCTTCTCTGTTAATGACCGTGACTGATTGGCTTACTGGAAAGAATGACATGCGAAGTAGCATGGGCATCCTGCCAAAAGCTCAATAGGAACAAACAAAATACATAAAAGGAAATTGGTCTTATACGGGTAAATCAGTGCCATGCTGGTTGAATTTTGGTACATGCAAACTTGAGCTGCGGTCTTCAATATGCCCTGACAGTTCTTCTAAAGACTTCAGGTCATCCCATCTGTCCCCTTGGTTGGCTGCCATTGAAAGCAGACTCTTGAATGAGAATGTTCTTGGACACTGTACAGAAGACAAACTCACCAAGGAGAGCCGTAGATGACCCATCTGTGTGAATGACATCAACAAAGAGCGCATCTGTAGGGTCCAGTCTCACACTGGGTGGGGTGTTTTCAAAGTAGGGACCAGCTGGATCCAATCCTGTGATATTAACAAGTTTAAAATGAAAATCTGCAGAGACATGTTGAAAAAAACATCCTTTAAGGGCCCCTTTACAATGGCTGAATATTTGTTTATTGCCATGTTAATCATCCTAAATAGCAGTGGCGGGCCTTAGGAACAAAGGGCCCCTGTGCAAGATTTATTTCTCTGGCCCCCCAACCACCAACCCCCCCGCACAGAAGGGGCAGGCGGGGGCATGGCAGTGTGTTGAAGTCAATGGCACAGCAGCCACGCCTCCCGTCTGCAGAGCGATCGCCCGCACCAGAATGTGTGGCACAACAGTGTCTGCTTTCAGATTGCACGCACTATTTTTTCAGATTGCACAGGACCGGAACACAGAGGGCATGGTTGTGGTGCCATTGACTACATCACACTGCCATGCTCCCTCCCACCCCTAAACGCAGGAAGCTGGCCGGGATTTGCTCCAGTGCATTCCAGCGGAGAATTGCTCTAGAACGCACTGGAGCCCTTAAAATGGACCCTCTCCCTGTGCTGGTGCATTAAGTTACCATGGCTAAAGCAGGCTCACCTTTCCACGGGCTCCTGGGAAGAGAATTGGGATCTCTCTGCTCATTCCACCATAGGCAGTGACAGAGGCTTGGCTGCAGAAGGCTGGACACAGAACTTCTAAAACTTCAGCAACATCCAGCCTGTCACTGCATATATAGATCTGCACATACGCACTGCTTGCCACTCTCTCGTACCACGCCGCCTGTTACCAGGGACGCAGTCGGGAGACGGAGCGGGAACTCACCTGACCGTGCCCCCCGTGCTGAGAAGCCTGTCTACCACTACCACCAGCCCCTCTCTCCCTTCTCATCTCCCGCCGCCTGCTACTAGGGACACGGCCGGGAGTACGAGCGGAACCTACATGATCCCACAGCTCTGCTCAGAAGCCCATCGGCACTGCCCTTTATTCAACTTAGGGTGGGTGGCCCAGGACGAGTCCTCACTGGGCCCCCCCACAGCTTCAGGCCCCTGAGCAGCCGCACCGGATGCACCGGCAGTGGTTCCGCCCCTGACAAGACCTCACTGAATAGCACTTAGACACGTGGGTCACTGTTCACCGACACCACAAATGCAGGTGTGAATGCCCTGCTGGGGTGCTGCATTGCAAGTTTATGCAGGTCCACCTATCGAGAGATCATTGAAATGTAATGGGCTGCCTT